GTATCTGTGAAAAATTAATGTTTTGGGTGGAAGAAACTTGATCCTGTAAGATCCTACTCTGCTTTCATTGTAGGTGGTTGTTTTCCCCTTCTTACCATCCCCTCACTTCATACCATACACCAGCCTGATAATCATAGAACCATAAAACACTTTGGGTTGGAAGGTCTTTTATGGGTCATCTAGTGCAACACCCCTGTGATGAGCAGGGAAATCTTCAACTTGATCAGGTTGCTCAGAGCTCTGTCCAGCCTGACCTGGAATGTTTCCAGGGATGGGACATTGACCACCTCTCTGGGCAACCTGTGCCAGTGATTCAGCACTCTCACTGTGAAAAATGTCTTTCTTATATCTAGTCTAAATCTACCTTCCTTTAGTTTAAAACCATTACCCCTTGTCCTGTCACAACAGGCCTTGCTAAAAGTCCCTCCCCATCTTTCTTATACACCCCCTTTAGGTCCTGGAGGGCTGCTCTAAGGTCTTCCCGGAGCCTTCTCTTTTCCAAGCTGAACAACCCCCAACTCTCTTGGCCTGTCTTCATAGGAGAGGTGCTCCAGCTCTCTGAAGCAAGTATCTTTCTCTGATGTTCACAGTCAAATCTCCAGGTGAATAATGCACCCTTTTATTTTAGGGGTACCAAAGTAATTTTTCTTAAAACCTCAAAAGGACTATATTGATCATGTTCCTAAACTAGGCAAACGCTTCTAGAATCAGACACAAGTGAAGAAGTGTTATTTAACAGGCACAAATACAACATCTATTTAGAATTAAGAGAAGGACGATGCAATTTCTAATTTACATGCACAATAGTGAATTTTGCAATGTAAACTGGAGCCTAAATATACCTAACAATTCCACATAATGTTCTAGAGTTTACAGATATAAACATTATTCTGAGCTTGACTCAGTTTGCTTTTTAATTTCAATTAAAAATAGAACGCATTTATCCAAGAAATTAAGCATACAGCAGAATTTAATCACAATTATGACCTATCAATATCAGATTAGTTTGGTTCCTTCAAATAAACAGACTGATGACTCTCACTGTTGATTAAAGGCAATTGAGTCTCATCACTAATGCAACCCATCAAAGACATGTTCCAAATTTAGGAACCCTTCAATAAGAAACAGCCACCTCTGCAGTAGAAAAACATACCAATAGATGAAAAAAAGGCTGGTGTGTGAATTATGGTAACAACCTTCTCCCATTCTCCATGCTCTATTCCACCGGTATTCTCTGTTACGGGAAGCAGGACTCCCCGCACAACTACCCAGCCCCATTCCCATCACTATTCCCATCCACCTTGCCATTCTGTACAATGGATATTTACATCCGAAATAAAATCCTTCACGTTGATTTCAATCACCTACAATTTACGCTTATTCCTTCAAGTCACACCATTTAATAGACGCAAATGCAACATCACAAACGGGAAGGTTCAGATGATGAACGAGCAACGCAAATCCAAGACGTTTAACAAAGGGAAAGGGATTCCTAGAATCACTGCCCTCATATGTGGCACATACTACTCAAGCTCTACAGGCTTTCTGCTTCAGAGTTTACAAGACAGCGATAATTAAAAGCACTATTATCCACAGAAAAATAATAAGCAAACAGTTGATTTTTTAAATATTTTTTTAGTCTTCCGCCACAACACTCATTTGTAGGTTGCTAGTACCTAGAATAAATAGATAAATCAATCAATCACATTTTTCAGGGTCATGCTATAGAAACACAAAGATCCTGTGCTAGATCTTTTATCAAAGGTAGCACCCCTTTAGCATTGCAATACCCTTAATTAATAAACAGCTGTAAACAAATTGCCTTCAACTAACAAATGCTTGATGTGTCTGGATCTCAAAGTCAGACATGCTCTGCTCCTGGCTGTATAATGAAGACACATCTTAAAGACTACAGGAATAGAAGAAGCAGTCATGTTAAATTAACGTGCTTGTTTCCAAAAGCCAAAACACTATTCATCTCCAAGCAGTGCCCACCGCTTAACCTTCAATAGATTTTGAAAGTTGTGGATAAGAACAGAAAGCTGCAACCATGAAGTTTCCTAGAAAAAAAATAAAACCACAGAAGATGACTGTGACAGTAGCCAAAACTATTGCAACAATTTATTGCATGCTCCAAGCATATCCACCATGATACCATTCCAAGGCAGCAACTCTCAAAAGCTACAGACCAGAAGTGGAACCAAAATTAGAACTGTAAATTGAAGACTTACAAACTGTAAAAAGGATTGTCCATCTGAAGTGTCACATGCTACAGTAATCCAGAACCACCAACATTTTAATCACGTTTCTGTATCTGTATCTAAATGTGTTCACCTACCTGCAAACACCTTCACACTTCACAAAACCCACCATTTTTATTTTGTTTTCTAATGCAACTGTAGCTAGAAGAGTTGTTTGCAAGAACTGTTCCTTTAATAGGAGCAAAGTAAAATTAATTCATTTCTGATCTGGTATGATTTTTATTGGACAGAAGCTTATCATTTCCATGTATTGCACAAAGTGATCAATGTGCACATTAATCTAAAAATTGTTAAAATGAAGCTAATAACATACGTGATGTCAGCTGTGGCTGTTACAAAATATGACAAAGAAAACATCGTGGATCCATACAGTAAAGAGCAACATCTGAAAATCTAGATTCTAGTTTCAGGCTTCAGTTTGCATAATTTATATTTGTCACTCCAATATTAATTAGTGTCAAATCCCATGCCAGCAATATTCTTAAAACCTATGAGAAAATAGTTCAGTTTCCAAAAAGCAAATCAATTGATACAGAAGGAAACTTATATTTCTGAGAGGAACAGCAAACACCAACACATACACAGCATGAATACTACTACTACACTTTTTTTTTTTGAAAAAAAAATAATTACTATTTTAAAAGCAAAGAACACAGAAGAGTGCAGCTTACCAACTTCAGGCTTCTCAGGATGTAATTCTGAAGTACGGTTTCCTTCAGCAATGTAAACGGGAAAGCTTGAACATTCCAGATACAGCTGACAAGCAGCAATAAAGGCAGGAAGGTATTCTTTCGGTGTTTTTTTCTTGTTTGTTTTCTTCACCCTAGCATCAACTTGTGATTCTCTGTCCCATTTTGTGGTCTGTCCTTGCTCCCTAGTGGGGTCTACTGGAAGCTCTGCCCCCAAGGGCTGAGACAAGGAATTACTCTGAATGATATATAGGTTGATAAATCTGGTTAAGAACTGTTGGACATACTCCAAACAGCACTGCATTGCAGTCTTTTGGATCGTTTTCCCACTTCGAGTTGCTGTCCCCTGTGTCATTATGGAAGGAGGCTGTACAATGGTTTCCTCGGATCCCACAGTTGATGCCGTCTCAGTCTCTGAGGATGTGCTACCAATAATAGGAATGCCAGCCACACTGTGACCTTCATTCAGTGCTCTATCAATGTCATCAGTTGTATCTCCCTGATACTGTACAAAATCAGTGAATCCACTTTCTGATGACCGACTGCTTGGAGGATTTTCACCATCTTCAAACACATCATTAGGATTTTCAAGTGAAACTGATGGCACCTGAGTGAGATAAAATTGTAATGATTGTTCAAAAGGGATTATTTAGGTCCTAGTGAGAAAAATATTTATTTGCTTGTCCATTTGGAAGCAACAATTTTATTCCACAGTTTTAAATTTATTCATATAAATACATTTTATGCAAAATTATGTTTGGTGTTCCACTAAGCTTGCCAGACCAAGCTAACTACTAAAAACCAAAAACCAACAAAATCAAAAACACTATTTATCAAGTAAGATATTTTAAATATTACTGATTTTAACATTTTCTTCATATCATCATCATGTCTATTTCTTATGAAAGAACGCCAAAATGCATAGGCACAGGTATTATTAATTTATACTGCATCATAAACCAAAATATTCATACATCAAAAAAATGTATGGAAGGAAGCAGGAAGCAGGACACTGAACTATACTACTTATGGTCACTTTAGCTAGCAAGATTCTTTTAATGCTTTAGATTTTAGCATGTTCTACAAAAGCACAAGATATTTATCTGTTAATCAGAAACTGCTGCAGTCATAAAGGAGTAAAAAAATGCCTGCAGGCAAAGGAGACAAAAAGGAGATGTCAGTCAAGAAGAATGGGAAGACTTGAGAGAGTAGGAAAAAGTATACACTTCTCTGATCGTGCTTCTGAAGTTCTCACTGTGCAAGGATATTAAATTATTTTAACCTAGTAACTGTCTAGATATACTACCGATAAATTTGCTCAGTCTTAAGAAATAGAATGCTAAGAGTTATGGAGGGGGAAGAGGTGTCTTTACTGCCGTCTGTGACTTCCCATTAGGTAGCTGAAAAGACAGTGGCGTGCTCAGAAATCCACAGTGAAAGAACAAAAGGCAACAAACACAAGTTGCAACAATGCAAATTCTGGTTAAATAACACAGTGCAAACAAACAAGCTGTACAGAGAACTTGTGGAACCTTCACCCTTGGAGATACTCAAAACTAAGCTGGATATGACCCTGAGTGACCTGACCTAGCTTTAAAGTAGAATTTAACTTTGAAATCAGCCCTGCTTTGAGCAGTGACCTGCAACTGTCACTTCCAACCTAAATTATCCTATGATGTTCCTCTAGTTTCTTCAGTTGGAGAAGAAGGATTGCAGGGCATGTCACTTAACATACCTTACAGAGTCATGGTTGCATAGACCAAACTAGACAATGCTAAAAGAGAAAGAGAAGGAGCTGCTGGCTGGTTTGTTTCTTCTATTTCTTTATTAAATGATTCTAAGAACTTAACAGTGACAGTAAAATAACTGATGGGTATCAATCTGCGGCACATAAATTGGGTGAGAGGAAAATTTACATATGCCTGATATGTAACCAAAATGGAGAAGTCTTTTCAGTCCAGTTATTCTACATGATCAGACTCTTGAAGTGCATTACAACTTCAAACCTTAGTTGATTAGTTCATTCTTAGGCCCTGACTCTGAAGTGATTTATACATGTATAATATTAAATCTAGACAAAAACTCTTAAGAATCAAGACCTTTTACCACAATGAAGTGCACAATTATAATTTCTTTTGATGAGCCAAGTTTTACATGTATTGTTGTATATTAAACTAAATCTAATCAAAGACTTGTAGGTGGTTCAGCACAGACTTAGAAAGCCCCCTTTTCCTTTCCACACAAGAAGTATCTTTCCAAGATGCTGCAAACCATAATCAGTTACCTTTTTGTTTTCCCATTCTTTGATGGAGCTGCTGTGTCCACTAGGAAACTGCAGGATACCATTGGTACCAGCAGACAGCAATGGAGGTTGAACCTTACTAAGGATCTTTGAGCAGAGTCGGAGAGAATCAGTAAGCTCAGACAAGTGCAAAGTATGAAGATGGCTCGTCAATGCAGAAATCATCCTAAGCAACAGCTGAGGCAAGTGTTCTGTCTGTATTTCAATGTAAGTCTCCTAACAAAGTAATAGTAAAATTCATTAATTGTAACACCAAATTCCACCCTGAAAGTTATCTTTTATAACAGTGGTACCTATCATTTGCTTAACTGTGTTTTAAAAGTATTGAAGATGGAAAAAGGAAAATTAATATCTTAATATCCAAGAATAAGAAATACATGCTTTACTTAAAAAAAATTTACAAAATTAACTTTACAGTAGGGTAACCAACAAATAGAAATATATTTAGCTCTTTTTGAGAATTTTACATGTTGTCCATTACACAACAAACACATTGCAAAACATAACAATAAGGCTAAAGAATGCTACTGCTATTATTGTAATAACCTTAATATAAAAGTTTAAGAATGAAATATAAACAAAGTTATTAAGAACTAAAAGGGAAAACAGGCAGATTGCCATACCTGACACAGCACTCTCATACTTCTAGTAGGCTTTGAAATGAAAAAGCAAAGAATTGAGGAAAGACAGGTATAGAAAAAACAGTTCCAACAGTCTTTGCTACATTAAGCAATGCCAACAGAAAAAGAAGATACATCTTATCACGACATTTAAAAGAGCCTTAAAAGAAAGGTGCACATCTAAACTAGCATATCAAACTACAAAAGACTACACTTGTAATGAATACAGTGTAGTTTTAGAGAAAAGAAATCAAGGGCAGACAAAAATTTTCAGGTATAAGCATCATAAAACCCACTTTGGTTATATCCAACCAGTCTATCAAGAATCACACAATGAAACCAAAACTTCTTCTAAAGGTGTCCATCAATTTACGGCAATATATTTTCAGGAAAAACAATTAATAAAGCAGACATAGTACTTCTGTAGACTATAAATATACAGAATCCCAGTATCAGTAATGAACAAAGCAATTCTTACCAAAGAAACTATATCCAACAAAAAATCCACTAACAAGCAGAAATTTGTCAGCGGTAACTCAGATTGCTCACTACCACCTCCAGGCCCAGTTTGAAGTCTGGCATGTAATGTCCTCCTGCAAAATTCAAATAGGGTTTCACGATATTTTTCCCTCCCCCTTACATTGACCATGTTTCTGTAACTTAATGCAAAGCTGTACACATCAGGGATAATCCCTATAAACAAATAACAGTAAAATGAGAGATTGCTTAAGTAGGTCATTTGTCTCCATTGCATGCTTTCAGAAAAAGCAGCAATTAGCCTTTCACTGTAAACCAGTCTTCAGTCATAAGATAAGGAAATCCAGGCTACAGAAAATTGCATTTGTGACTCCAGCATATCCAGCAGTATTTACTAGTATGAGCATGGGCACCAATAATAGAATTAAGGGACCGTGTTACTGGAAGCACACTAATTTAGAAGAGATCTAAACCCAAGGCATTAAGCACTTGAGATAAAGACAATCAAAAGTGAAATAAAAGGCCCATGAAGCTTTAAAGATGTGCAATAGGAAAACAAAACAAGCTCTTCTAAATGTTCACTTCAACTTCAGCTGACCGCATTATTTTACTATTGACAAGAATTCATAATCTGATGAGTGTTATTGCTGACTGAAATCCCCTGTGAAACCATGTTGCAATCTGACAATGTTATATGCAAAGGATATGAACAAAGGAATAATACTTTGTTCCTCCAGTTCATTTATTCTGCTAGGGGTGGTGGTGGTGAGGGCAGTGTCACATTTTCAGCAATAGTTAGTTATGCTAATCCTTTCCCTCTGTTTTGGAAGGGTTCATGAACACATATGCCAGGACTGAAAAAAAGGATTTATTCGAAATAACAGAAGCAATACAGAAACCAAGTCTGAAACAGTGACATTTAAAAATCTTTTGATAAATACTTAAAGATTTTAAAAATCACATTTAAATTACACTCTGTCAGTAACCCACATTTGAAAAGTAGCACTCTACTTAACCCTCACCTACACTGGGTTACTGTATCTCTCTAACAACAGATAATTCTTTTCATAAAACTAGTAGCCTGTTCTACAGTTCAGTGAAACAGTTCCTTTATGCAAGTCGTAACACAAATTTTTCCACATTCTGTGCTCCTACCCAGAAAGATCTACCATTTCATAAATTACTCACAGATTTGTTCAACTGTAATACCTCATAAAGGATGACTTCAATTCAACTCACTGAGTCCCTTATCAAAAATAGCTTTGAGAGAAGGCTCAATAGCAGTCAGCAATACTTACATGGAAGAAAACCCTGGATACAAAAAATCCTATTTTTAATTTTTAGTGGGGGGAAAATAATAAGAAAAACCCTAAGACAAATTCAGAGGGATATGTAAATCACTTTAAAAGTAATAACTGTGATTTAGCAATCAGACTAGATGATATAAAGATAACTTAAATTCACAGTTTAAAATCAACTGTTTATGTTTTCACTTAATGGTGTATCTTTTTAAATAGGAAGACAGTAATTTACATAACACAGCAGCTCATGTAGAAAAAAAAAAACAAACACCGCCCCCTCAAATTTCTCCAGATTCCATTTACTTATTAATAAGGCAATCTGGTATCCTTGCATACAGTAACATCTACTTACATGTAGAGAAATTCTCACCTGCTTGTTAGTTGATTGTAGACTGCTTTCTTTACTTTAGCAATTCAGTCCAATACACAAAAATTAAGTCACAGACACGTTGGAAGGGATTTCATGTGGTCCAACCTCTCACACTGAGCAGGACTGCTAACAAGGCTAAATTTATCCACAGCTTTGTCTAGCAGAGTCCTGGAAATCTCCCAAGGAAGCTCCACAGCCTTCCTGGGTAACCTGTTCCACTGCTGCACTATGTTCCTAGCAAAGCTTTTCCGAAAGCCCAGCCTGAACCCCTGAGCCAACACTTGTTGTTTCTGTCCCTTGTTTTACCATCAGCCATTACCAAAAGTATGGCTGCATTAACTTTGTAAATACCCTTCAGAAAGTCATAGGCTGCTATTTGAGCCCCTTCTTTGCCAGGCTAAACCAAGCTCACCTACCTCAACCTCCCATGCAGTGCCCTATGACTCTGATCACCTTAGCAGTCCTCTACTAGAGCCTCTTCAGTTTCTCAACACCCCTCCTCAAGCAGGGTGCCCAAAGCTGGACACGATATTCCACATGTGATGTTAGAAACACTAAGTGAAAGGAAAAATAACTTCCTTTCACCTGCTGATCACGCTCCCCCTAATGTAACCCAAGACACAGTTTTCTTTACTTACCACAGCACACTGTTGGCTCATAGACAACTTCGTGTCCAAATATCTTAATATGCTATTAAGCTGTTCCATAAGCAATGAAAAAAAAAATTTCTACAAATTTCATTTGAAATCCCTACATCATGTATCCCTTGCCACAGAAACAATCCCTGCTTTCCTGTGGTTGCTTGGTCCCCTCTCCCTCCTGTTAATATTTCCAGATCTCCCTTCTTTACCATGTTCCCTCTCGTAGCCCTCCTTGCCAAGTACAGGACTCCCACACTTTTTCCTTCCCTAAAAGAGCAGGGCAAAAGATAATGCATTCCACAAGTCACTCTTGGTGAAGCTGACGGGTTTGCTAGACACCCAATGAGTAATCCTGTACTGGACAGACAGAACACAACAAACTAGCTTTGAGATCACTCTGAAGTCTTCCCTTCAGCAGAAGTGCTAATTCTGTCTCTTGATTTTACCCAGACACTGAGTTTGTGAGAACTCGAGCTGCTGAGATCACCAATCGCAACTGACTGAAATTAGCCAAGAGATCAAAGTTAAAGTGACGGGAAAGAAAGAGACTTACAGACTAAATGATCACATTAGACTACTTTGAAGGAAAAAAGCTTATAAAACAAAAGTCAACTTCAACTTTATACATACAGAGATTAAGTATTATAACCTACCTACAACATTCTTCAAACCAACGAGCAATGTAATCCCACATATAATAAGGCTCAAAGGAATTAAAGAGAAGATTGGCAGTTTTAATCAATTCTGCTGTTTTCTTGTTTTCTCTCAGTTTGCTGAAAGAAAATAAAAAGAACATTTTATATTTTTAAACTTAATTTCTGAGTCATGTAACTAGACATCACCGTGAGTTTACCCACTGCCAGGGTAACACTGACAAATTATCCTGCCCTCATCCCTACAGTGGTTGTTTCTCTAGGGCTCAGTATATTGGCAGGCTCCTCATATCAATGTCTTTTCACAGTTGCTACGTTTCTTCTTCTCTATCCTTTCTTTAATGTTTGTCTTCTAACCACATTTTTAATAGATCTGTTTTGCCATGATCATTCCTACAGTTGTTTCTCCCCTGCAGCCTTGAACTTCCCTCCTCTCCACCTTTTAAAATATTCAACTCAAATCTCAAAACTCTTTTTATCCCTCTTTCTGGTTGTCTTGTAGCAGTCTTCATTTTTACTCTGCAAGAAAGCTCATCAGTCCACTTCTTCTCTTATTTTTTGAAGAACGCAGATGTAAAGAACGCCACAACTAATCTGTACAATTGACATACTGACTTCCAGCTGCATCAAGCAAGTATTTTTGTCATGGATAAAGAATAAAATTTAAATAAATTCTAAATATTAAAAAAAAAAAAAGCCATAGCCCTTCAGATCTTTGCATTGAACACAGAAGTTGCAATTAATGTCAGTGGATCCTGTATCATGAAGAAACCAGGTCACAGTCCCACAGGTTTCACAGTCATAGTTTCAGTAACAAGAAGATATATTATTTAATGCGAAACACACTATACTCATTATTCACCTGCTTAGCTGTGTGTGATCTTTGTTGAAAGAAGGTTCTGCCTGAAGCTCCAGTTCTGTTTTGCACTGTGTATATAATGTCCGAAACACTTCAATCAATACATCCTCTAGGATGGCAGGGCCTAGGGAGAAATACCAGCAATCACAGTCTCATGCATTACAGGACCGCTAACAGTCCACAACTGAAAACTACCCAAATCATTAGCTAGCTTTGGTCACCAGAGCCATAAAAGTCCTTCTGTTCAATTTCATAAACCACCTCAATCTCAGAAGTTTTTTTGCATTCCAGAAATACACAGGCAATTGTCATGTCTGGGAGCACACAAAGCACAAGGGCAGTTCTTTTTCCATACAACGTGTGTACAACGATGGCTGGATACAAACACACCTAGTTCCAAAGCTATGCAGCGACACAAGTCACATGTCCAAGCCAACACACTCTCTTTGAGGGATTATTAACTTAGCTCAGTAACATGTAAATGTGACTACATGGATTCCTGATCAAAGGTAGCTTTCAAGTAAACAGTTTCAAACAGCCGCCCGTAAGCTAGCTCATGCTGTTATCACATGAAAAAACATACTCAAATACTTAAATGCAAATACGAGGCAAAATATTTTGAGCACCTTCCATAATACAAGGCAAAATATTTTGAGCATCTTCCTCCCTTTTAATTTGAGGCAGGTTTTCTTTAACCCTGGATATGGTCTGCAGGATTTTTTTGAAATTGTGCCTCCTTCAGGTTTGAGCCAAATCTTGAGTTTGAAGAAAAAAAAAAACCACAACAACTTATTGTGAAAGGAGTTCACAAAGTAATCCTGTTTAAATACCCTTTGCTTTTTCCTACTTTCTCCTAGCCTCATTGAGCTGCCTTCAGTGAGAGGGTGCTCACCGAGTTAAGTAGAAATCGTATTAGCTTCTTCCATCTCAGTTTGTTGAAAGAATCCTCATAGCTCTGCTTACTTCATGAAATCTCAACGTACACATTGCCCTGAAAATTTAAACTGACCCCCAGAAACCACGGATTACCAGGAAGATGACAAATTCTTGTCAGAGATCTTGTTCTTTGTGGTCTGTCTTAACCACTTCCTTTCAAGTTGTACTCTTTAATTGTTGTATTTTTATGCTTTTATTATCCTGCTCTGAAATCTTAGGATAGACTTCAAAAATTATTTTTATTTTTTTCAGTCACCTCCAAAACTGTTATCCCAAAGAAAAAGGAAAGACGTCCAACACTTAATTGTTGTAAATACTTTCGTCTCATCTACTTTTGTCCCATAGTCCTTTGCGCTCACCTGCTAAAAAGTGCATTTGAACACTTTAAACAGGGGAAAGGAAAATTAAAAACAACAACAAAACCTCCAAACCAACCGCCCATAAAACCAAAAAAATACTTGCTGCTTCTGGATAAACTCTTCTGGAAAAAACAATTGTTTTCTCGTTAGTATCTCTCATATCTGTGTGTATATTAGAAGAAAGAGCAGATGATTTCCAAAAGCAACAGCTTAGATTTAAAATAGTGAAAGTCACTACTCGATTAAAGAAATTGAAAAGATCCAATCTGTATATCTTCCAACTTGCAGTCAGTTCTTTCTATGACTTTAATTTACTATTTCCTGTGTTGAAAGTAGAAGAAATTGTATTTGGTAAAAGGTAAATCTAATGAATACATTAAATTAAATACAAAACATACACAAAGCTTGGAAGATCTAAGAAATCTAGCTAACCTGCCAGTATTAAGAATACAGCTTTTTCAATTTGTTCAACAAGAGAGAAAAATTCCCAAAGCAAAACCATGTAAAACAAGTTAAAGACTAAAAGGCATATGAAGTAATATGAAAATTACCTAGCTCCGGCTTATCCAGCAAACTGATGAGAATACGAAAAGGCTTTAAGTCTTGCATTAATGTGCTTTCTTCTCCATGCCCATTAACCTGTAATATTCCAGTCATTGCCTACAAAGAGCAAAAGCATATCAGGAAAACAAAAACAAAACCAGAAAAACAGTTTTTGAAAGAAAGATGCAATAAAAGCTGCATATAAAGGGAAAATTCTCAGTAGTGGAGACCACTATTTCACCTCACTGCAGCTCATTCTCTCCATGCTTAAGTATTCTCTCAACTTTGCCTATGAGAATATTTCTGTGGAACAGAACTTGATAACTTGTATATACTTAAAGTCAAAATAAAATATTATAAACAGATACCACCTCAAAATTTCATAAGAATAAAAGAGAAGACACAAAAAGTGATGAAGAAATAGATTGAGAAGGTAAGGCATGTAGATATTATGGGCTTAACAAATAACAAATCTGTCCATCTAGGATATACCCACCTATGTGGCAGAAAGCTTTCTTGACTAAGTTGACTAGATAGCAATGACAATTTCAAAACAAATGAGAAAACTGAGTTTCTATACTGAAGCAGTTTAGGGAACGAGCTGCAGAATTAAAAAAAAAAAGCCTAACAAAACTGCCACAGATCTTGCTTAGTTTTCTCTCTGTGGCTGGCTTCCCTGTCTGAGTCAAAACTAGTTTGTTTCTCTTACAGTTCTAAAAAAAGGAGGACAAAGAAGAGAAAGAAGAGAGATGGAAAAGAAGAGAGGCAGGAAAACAGGTTCAACCTTGCTATCTGCTATAAAACAAGTATTATCAGCCAGTATCTCAAAAGAAAAACCTTCTGTACTTGAACATGCCTTTAGAAGGTCAGAATTTTCAGTACATTGTATCAATGAATAAGATGGGGGTGGACTGGATAAAAGAACAGACAAAGAGACTGCTAGGGAAAAAGGCAGAAAGGAGCAATGCTTTTGAAGTCTTTCAAAAGATAGCAAATGGTCTTAGAAGGCATACGCAATTTGTATTATGTAGAGCAAACCACTGATTTTAATGTCTCTAAAAAACTTCAAAGGAAAAAACAAGTGAATTATCTGCATTATTAAAAATGGCCACTCTCCATTCTATTGTAGCAGTAGTGCCTGGTAGCCTAAATGTTGCTAAAATCTCCCCACATTTTGTATAGAAGTTGTATGTGAAACTGTCTCATTCAGGCCTCTCCTCTACACTTGGATATCTAGTTTCTGAATCATCTGCCATGCGAGGCAAAAGGGTGATAAGAGAAGGGTGAGAAAGTGCCGAGGTCTTTGCTGCACTGGAATTCTGGAGTCTCTTCCTCATCAGTAGAACAGCAGATCTCATTATCTTCCAATAAAACAGAAAGTGCTAGCTCTGTGCTTGATATCACCCTTAAGTTGTGATGAGCTAAATACTCTTGTGTCAGCTACTAATATTAGAATCTCCACTCTCACTCCCATATATAGCACCACAATTCTGACTGAATATCAGAAAAGTCCTAACCTTATCAATTTACCTTAATGATAAAATGTCTTCCAGATCTCCAGATCAGACTCACAGCATCTTGAAAGATATATGTATACTTTAATTACCGTGAGAGGAGCAGCACAATTCTTAAGGCCAGGTGATCTCAGCTCACCTAGTGAGCCTTTAGGCATCAAATAGTATGAGTGCCAATTTGCTCAACTATTCCTAACCGCCAACGCACAGCAGAAAAGACTTTCCTCTTGCCTAGACAGGATGAAGATCCTTCTTACTCAGACCTTCGGATCAATATTTTCTGATTCCCAAGACACAGAGGAGTTTCTGTATCTACAGAAGTAGAAGAGAATTCTCCAATTCTGTTTTATGAAAGAACAGACTCCAGTGTGCTGGGCTCATAATCAAATATATTCCATGTATGCTACACTCATTGTGGAAGAGGAGAGAAAGAAATCTAGTATTTGTCCTGATCATACTGTTATTCTAAAGAAACACATTATCCCATGTCTTCATTTTTGCACTAAGAAGATTTTAGAAGAGTAGGACAAAATACCACAAAAAGACAGAAATTACACGGTCACATTGAAATGAGAAGTCAAAAGATAAAGATACAGCAACTTTGATGAGTATCCATTTATGATGATATATGCCATAAAACATCATATAGCTACCTGGACTAACAGCTCCTTAGAGAAGGTGTTGAAATAGTAAGTGGCATGCTCCTCGGGATTGCTGTGCCTTGTACTTCTGGGTCCTATAAGGGCACCATTGTTATCAAAACCTTCAAGCAAACAAAAGACAAGCAAATAAGTATTTGTCTCTTAATAGAATATTTTGCCAATTTCTTTAAACTAAAAATCAACACACTAGCACTGATAACTTACCAAGATGAAGTCCAAGTAATGTTGGCAAGAGAAAGATGATTTTACAGAGTTTAATACAGGAAACTAAGTGATACTTCCATGCAAGCAGTTTGCATACAAATTACAAACCTTATTTTTATGCAACGTTATTAACCAAACTACTTTTTGTACAAAAGAAAAAAATGTTCACAAACACTGCATGAACCACATATCCTAGAATATCTTCAAAAAAACCTGTCCCACAAAAATATTTCAATATTAACATTATTACGAGAACACAAAATTCAGTATTTTAAATATAGAGAGATGATCATCAAAACATTCTGACATGACTAAGGCACTTGGAGCATCAGTCATATTACACAAAATCAATTTTGTTATTCAAAATTATATGAAGGAGATAGACCTTCATTTTGTAAGTTTGTATCTTTTCTTTTACCAATTAAATTTATTTATTCTACAAAAAAATAGGCTTAAAGAAAGAAATAATTAAAAAAAAAAAATCAAGAAGTCAGTCAGGATATCAACCCATTCCACAAAAACATTTTCCACAGTTTTTGTTCCGAAGTGACAAAAATAGAAGGAAAGTCTGAGAAGATGTATGCCCTTTAGCAGCAACGTAAAACAATCGCTGTTAACAATGGTTAAGCTAACCTGGATTTAAAGAGATGTAATGTGATTTTTTTGCGTAGAGAATGTTAATAGACCACTCCTAGCTATCCTAGCTATAAAACCATAGGAAGGAATAGCTAACACCAGAATTAGTGTCATACAGAACACCAGACTTCAAAGAGTCTTCGAACATAATTGACACCCCTCCCCCCTCCCCCCCCCCCCCAATTTATATTAGGGGTAGAATACCTTGAGAATATAAAAACAGCATAATGTCAAACGAAAAATAAGCAAAAAAACTACATTGCAAGAAGTTCTGTCCAAATATATAGCAAATGGAGGTACTGGCAGTTCACAAAACAGGACCAGGAACGGTTACTGTAAAACTATCTTCTGAAGTTATATCATCTTTCAGTGGAAACTATGCTCATGAAATAGCTGTAGAAGAAGGTTCCACAAGTAAAAAAGCAGCACATAAAATATCTTTTTCAATGACAGCAAAAAGACATATCTAATCCACCAAGTTTAGATTATTATATACCTATTAACATTAGTGCAGTGTTTAATCTGGAAATTACTTTTTTCCCTAAATTGGAAAATGTAGGTATGGAGGATGACAGTGCATTTCACTGTCTTTCTTTAGGAGATGAGTAATTTGCAAGTCAGTGCCTTGAGAAGTGATTAACTAAAGAAGCTGGTATTTTTTCATATTTATCTTCTAAATCCCTGCAACTTCTACAGCAACAAAACCAATCCCCTCATGCAAAACACTGTTGCTGACTTCATCCCTCCCTTTGTAACTGCAGTTCTCTCATGTCCCTTTACTTACTTCCTTGCTCACCAATCACCCACAGGCTACCTGTCTCTGATGCCTTAACTATCAGCTGGGCAAGATGCAAGAGCTGCTGGGAAGGGTTCTGGGTAGCCTGAGAAGCACCTATGTGCTTGCTGGTGAGCTGGGAAGTCAAACAAAAAAGGTAAGAGCATATCATAAAACAATCTTCCCCTCAAGTAGAGAAACTACTTTTTGTTTCTCCATTCAGTCTTCAGTTTCTGTGACACTCTTAGGCACTCCCATGTCAGAGATCCTGACTTCTCTCAAAGTGGGCTGAAAGTGGTTTGAAGGGGTAACAGGCCAGTTTCACGTGATCACAGGCTTCATTTCCTTAAAATAACAAGGCTGAACAAGAGTAAATTTTTTCTAAAATTTTCTTATTTCTAGTTTTCTAAATATCCCCTAAATAGTTAAGAGTCGTCTAAATAGCTATTATTCTCTGTTACTCTCTTCTGATTACATGCTGGTTTTGTATAAAAAAAAAAAATTGTGTGCTGTATTGATATTCTGCCGTTTGGCAGAAGTAAAAGCATGCGTCCTGTCATTGATCGGTTCTACCTCAGAAAGACATTAAAATAATGTTCTAGTTGCATGGAGAAAAATAGTGATTGATGATTTGTTAATTCAACCATGCAAATAGCCAATGAAGCTTTAAAGTTTGCATACTCAAGTCTCCATCAACATACTATCAACATTTTTCCACATTATTTTATTTTCATCCCCTCTACGCTCTTGTGTTTCAACTGCCATTTACACTCTACAATGCCTGTTCTCTGTTTTTTCCATTTTATGCTTTTAGGGAGACAAAAATTGCCTTTCAGTGTCTATTTACGCGGGCCTAGTGCACCAAGCTCTACCCTTGCATGTGGCCCGTAATTGCTGCTATAGGAAAATGTACCAATAATTTATATAACAGGAAAGAGTTCCAGCATGACATTCTTCAGCTTTTGTGTTTGTGGAGAGAGAGAGTGCCTTTTTTCCTTGTGATACAAATTAAGTACTGCATTTTTCCAATACTCTTTCACCGCAACATGGCAAAATACTGCTAATGAACATATGATCCTTCCTCCACTTCTAGTGAGCAATGAAATGAAATACAAACTTACCTAGAAGCCATGCATAAAGCCTTCGGTTGAGTGACATATCCCTGCGCAGTACTACATGAAGGGCTGCTGACAAAATTCTGATCATGTCTGGACGTGTTGCCTGAAGAAGTAAGGAACAGTTTAAATATAACTACGAAAAGTAACACATTTTCTATGCTAGCAGCTTACTGTGCACTAAAACATAGTTTATTTCATGTTCTGACATTTCTGAATTTGGAATAGTACAAGAAAACATAATTTTGCTCTTAGGAAACCAAAATATGATTATTATTTGCAGCAGACACTTTGTAATAGTATGCACTCTTTATGAACAGCAAAAATACTTGACTCCATTAACAGTTTATTTTTGTTACAAGATCTCATCTTGTTTACTAGGTAAAAGCCTTGGAAGCAAATTCAACTAAAATCCAGTGTAAAAAAAAAAAAAAATATCACTGAAGAATTTTAAATACCTTTTAGTCTCTTACTACTTTAAACATTTGTGTAAGTCTTAATATTAAAAAAAATGTTGTCTTGGCAATTTTGCCATTCTAGCACCTAAACAGAAACACTCCAAATATTCCTATAGTAATTGATAAATGTGAACTAATCACTTACACAGCAAGAATATAGTTCTTTTTGCAGGAAAGTGCAGGTTTCCCATAATTTCTAACAAGGTGAGAATCAACCTTGCATAAATTTTCCTCCAGGAGTAAACTAAATCATAGATCATTAAAAAAGAAAGCGATTAACAATAAATGCAGTCCAAAAAAAATTACGTAGGCATTGTAAGGTCTACCTCCCACTACTGCTGGGGCTAACTAATCACCCAAAACCAATAATAATTTTCAATTCTCTAGTGTTCCGAATCAGTTATGTTAAGAGGATTAACTTTTGCTGCTTTTGAACGCTGATAATGGGAAACCTGCACATGAACAGATAATTTGTTTTCTTATCAAATCAGAGCTTCTGCATATACTAAACATCATAATTTATATTGGGTTTGCATATACAGAAGTTAAAGTTAGCTTCAAAGTTAACAAATCAAGTTAAAAAGCAGAAGGGCAGAGATCATGACATAAGAATAGCCAAACCTATCATAGAAACTCTTACATATGACTCTTGTTCAAGTTCAGAAAAAAAATCATTAACAAAGACTGACTAAATACCGCTAGCGACTTAAGAAGTGGAGTACATTTAGGAGTTTGCCAATTCATCTCTCACATGTTAATAACCTACCTGGCTCATGTGGAAAGGAAAACAGAAAAGGATAAGGTCCAACGTGCTCCTCTGTACTAAAACACTGGTATCTTGCACTGATGTGCTTACTGCTTCCACCTGAAGTAACAGCAGACCCCCCCAAAATAGTTATTTACTGTATTATTTTAAGAAGGTAGATATAAGAGAACACTCACTAAATAAGAATAGTTGTTTATAAATAGTGACATGTACAAAATGAAGTTATTTTAAAATTTTGAATAAAACAGGAAAATAAAGTTTCACCACTGAGGAAACACATAATCAACATAGATACCCTGAACTATACAAACATTAAGCTTCTGCTTTTTTATATTACCAATGAATATCTTAAGTTTAAAAGACAAAATAAAATAATTTTTCAAAAAACACAACAAAACTCAAACACTTTTAACTGAAGCATGTCACGAATGGAAAGTTTTATACAAAACCTAAGCAGTTCTGAAACATTAACTCAGCTTTGCAACACTTATCATGAACAAACACATCATCTTAATAAATAAAGTAGTTCAAAAGCTACGTTCAAAGATAGAGAAGACATCTAACCCCCCTGCCCCAGAAGTATACTATTGCATAAGTAACCAACGTCTTCATTGTTCCAGCAAAACATTACCATTAACTCAATATCACTGCCAATTATGTAGAGTTGATCCTCCATTGAAAGCTTCCTGTTCAAATGGGAGAGGACATAGGTGATCCCAGGCAAGCGAACTGCAGGGCTGGTGAGGAGGCTACCCCAGAGAGCACTGTAGAACGCCGACTGATCCACAGCTGAGGCAACCTTCTCCAACAGCGTGTTCGTTCTGCAGTAAAATTAAGTCAGCTGAATTACGGCATGTATCACAGTCCTTGCCCCTGCCTCCAGTTTTAATAAATATAAAAATTAATTCTTACAGGAAGGTCAAAACTTTCTTCTGAGAGGTCAAGAGAAGCCTTAATTATATACTGAACCTTATAATACACAGCCTGAACAGACTGACCCAACTAGCAAGCCTGTGGGCCAACCTGGATTGCAAAACACTTCTGCCTGCCCACAGCTCCTCCTTACGTATTCCTTATGTTCAAAGAGCAAAGCTACTTAAAGCCAAGTGTTGCTACAGACAGAGGTTTCAGAGAGACAGCAGAATGGCATAGCTACTGAAGAAAAGAACCAAGCAACTGGCTTTTGCCCTCTCATTCCTTGCACTGAGCACTTCTGGCAATAACAGGGCATAAAAATACCACAATTCTTTAAGCAGAAGCAATCCCTTTCCCTGTCCTCATTTCTCCCCACTCATGTGGCAGCACCTCTACACCCTATGGCAGGCCCCGAGAGGCAAGCTCCATGTCCTTATTCCCTGTTATAGTGGTACTAACTACACTGTGTGTATCTACCCACGCAGAAATAGAAAAAGACAACCTTAAATTGCTCTCCACATACAAGTCGTGAAAATTCTAGCTTCTGAAGTTGGAAACAGCAAGAATATGTAAGTGTGTGAACAATTCCAAGAACCCAAAGCCTTGGAGTGTAACTTCACTCTTTAATACGTTAAGATTCTACCCCCAGCACCCCAGACATCACGGTCCAGGTCACTCAACCAGGCCTTAGGCTTGGCTGGATAAGAAGAGCTATTACCTCCCAGGCCACTCTGCTAGAAAGAGAGTAATAACCTGTAAAGATAGGTGGATTATTGATGTCTCTTACATAGGTGGTTTAATGACAATTTAGGTATCACAATGAGTAAATCTTAATGATGGAAGATTTGTTATCTTAAATTCAGTTAATGTATGTATTTCAGAACAGCAATAATATGGCAGTACTACCTTAGAGGAAACCCATGGAAAAGAAACAAGCAGTATGTTCCTAACACGTTATATATCTCAATCCATAACAAGAATCATAGAATTGTTTAGGTTGGAAAAGACCCTTAAGATCATCAAGTCCAACCGTTAACCTAACACGGCCAAGTCCACCACTAAACCATATCCCTAAGCACCACACCTACACGTCTTTTAAATACCTCCAGGGATGGTGACTCCACCACTTCCCTGGGCAGCCTGTTCCAATGCCTCACAACCCTTTTGGTGAAGAAATTCTTCCTAATATCCAATTTAAACTTCCCGTGGCACAACTTGAGGCCATTTCCTCTTGTCTTATCCCTTGTTAGTTAGAAGAAGAGACCAACATATAACACTAAGTCTACTTAATGTCAATTCCCTTTCAATAACAGGAACAACTAACAGTTGATTTATAATAATTAATGTTAAGAATCTTCTACCATACTATTCCATTGCAATTAATATGACTGCATAAAATCAAATACTACCTATCTTAAAAAAAATACACATACAAGTATTTAATGAAAAGCTGCAGCAATAATTAAAAAAAAAAAACAAAACACAAATCAAGCACACCACCTTATTAATATATCTGTCCTTACCTTTCGTAATACTCTGACCCCTCCTCTAACCCAGGTAGAATCCCAGTTAATAGTCCTTGCAGTCCTGGTTTCAATGTTTTCCCCAAAGGGAGGTAATAAATCTCATACAGACTCAATAATGTTGGCTTGACAGACATAGCGGCATTAGCAAGGAGTGGAAATAGTCCAGAACTGTGAAAAATAAAATTTTTCATTTTTTTAGGAAGCTTTTCATGCGAGTCAATTTCATTTATGTCTTAAGACTGTTACAGGCATGTCTGTTGTAGTTATAAGTATCAGGTTTTTATCTTAGAATTTCACACAGGCATAGATCACCACACAATATGAATGCCTTCCACATTGACAGGTTGGTATGTCAAGATTAATATTAATGAGCTTTATTACTATTGTGATAGCAAGGACTGAAGGCCCAGACATAACTGTGTCTTTCACCAATAAAACA